AGCCTTAAATCCAAAGCCTGGGGGTCGAAGCCCGGAAGCCTTGCGCGACCCTTATCTGAAAGGGTTTTGGGTTTAGGGTGTGGGGTTTAGGGCCTTTAGGGTTTAGGGCTTAGGGTTTAAGGCTTAGGGCTTTGGGCTTAGGGTTTCGGGGGGACTTCACCTTGATGGGTTCGGGCTTTTCTACGGGATGTAAACGTCTTTCTGGCTTGTTGGGACTTCGGGACCATCATTGGTTTTTGGATAGACTCCGAGTCCCACCCCATACTTGGAGGTTCATGGGTAGTTATAAGTGGGGTTATAAGTACCCTAATTAGGCTTATAATTTTAGTTGCCCTACTTATAACCCACGTATAACTACCCATGAACCTCCAAGTACCACCAGATAATAAAGCTAAGCTCGTCATTTAGGGAGTCTGTTGCAGCCGACTCATCCCCCACAACACAGCACTAAAGGCACCTTAATAATTAGAAGGGTGCGTTTTTGACGGATTGGGGGTGGGGGTGGTGGGGTGGCGGTAGAGTGGAGTGCTATAGGTTGTAGTAAAATTTTAGCAGAGACTTTAACTTTAACCCAAAGAAACCTTCACTGGATTCCCTGGTAAGACATCACCCTAAACCCTGAACCCTAAAACCTAAACCCTAAAAGCACCCAAAGATAAACTTAGGGCCCCATGGCACTCCCTACCTTATCGGCTTTGTTTTGAAAAGGCGATCCTGGCATGGGGCTTAGGGTTTAGGGTTTATCCCAACCAAAAGGGCAGTTCTCTAAATTCGGATCCCATTTTGGATCCACAATGTAGTAGGGCACCCGTATTAAAAATGTATCCTAAAAGGGACCCTAAGTTAGAGAACGCTTGTAGTATAGTATACCTTAGAGAAACCCTATAGAACCCGTCATAGATCCCTTTAAGGAACCCTAAAAAGGGATCCTAATTTTGAGAACTACCCATATGGTTGGTTAAGCGCCGTTTTGGGCTCCCTAGCTAAGGCGTGCGTGAATTAAGGCACATTGGAAGGCCCGGGGTTCGGTTCACGTGTGTGGGGGTGGGGGGTGGGGGGGGCGTTAGCGTTCAGGGTTTACGCTTTAGGGGTTTGGGTTGAGGCGTTTGGGGTTTAGGGTTTAGGGTTGAGGCGTTTAGGGTTTAGGGTTTAGGCGTTTAGGGTTTAGGCGTTTAGGGTTTAGGGTTTAGGCGTTTAGGGTTTAGGCGTTTAGCTTTTAGGGTTCAGGGTTTACGCCTTAGGAATTTGGGGGTTCAGGGTTTGGAAGTTTAGCGATCCGCGTCAGGTTCTCGCGCAAGATCTCGATCGACATCTTGGTGCCGACTATCTCCATGAGATCCGCCGTCGCTGCAACACCCGCCGACGCCAAGAGCTCCAGGGTTTAGGGTTCCCAGAGACTCCCAAACCCCTTAATTAAGGAATGTACCTTAAACTATAAGAGGAATCCTAAAAAGAATGATTTAAGGTATACCTTAACCTACCAAAACCTATTAGGGCTTATAATAAGAACCTACAAAAAGGTAGGGTTTGCTAGTTTAAGGTCTACTCCTTAATTATAAGGGGTTTTGGACTAAACCCTAAACCCTAAACCCTAAACCCTAAACCCTAAACCCTAACCCTCCGGGTTCCTAGCCCTGATACTCCGGCTCCTCCAACCCCTGGCTGGTGCGCGGGGTGGAGGGGGCCGGGGCAACTACAATGGGTTTGGGGTGTAGGGTTTAGGGTTTAGGGTTTTGGGGTTAGGGCTTAAGGTTGACAGGGTTTAGGGTTTAGGGTTTGGGGTTTGGGGTTCAGGGTTTAGGGTCTGGGGTTTAGGATTTAGGAGACAAGTCCAGTCAGTGTGCCCCCCGTAGAGCCCCGCTTCCTCTCACTGGTACGTGAGCATTGCTCTAAGCACTGTCGGCTTGAAGCCCAGGAGCTGCAGCTTGAGCCTGTATTCCGGCTCACAATAAAACGGCGCCACCGTGCTGACGTCCACCTAAGTCGCCCCGCAGCGACGTAAACTCCACGATCCCTGAAGCCCTAAATTACTAAACCCGAAAAACCCTGCAGCCCTAA